GCGTATTGACTCTGCTCATTGCATTCACTCCAATTCTTGGTTGTAGCAGGGATCCATGCAATAAAATGTGAAGACCAAATAAGGACTGGACTTAACCTTTTCCTTATCTCTGGCTGGAGAGAGAGAGATCAAAAGGAAAATAAAGATGAGGAAAAGGTTTGAATTTTGAAAGCAAAAGAACTACTAACCTCTATGCCCCTTTGCATTTTTGTCGCTTTTAAGATTACTTGGATGTTATGTGACAAAATAAGAATTGGATTCTAATGGGCCTTGTAAAATCTGGCCCATATCCAAGCAAATCAAACCATCATTGAGTTTAGTCCTGAGTGGATTAACCCCAACTAGAAAAGATGAAAGTGGGAATTGGGCTCAAATAGGCCTTGCAAGAAAGTAACAACTAGTAAACTATTGTTATCATAACTCATTCCTCAGTAGTGAGACTTAAAATTCAACAAAAATGATTAACAACAATTAAGTTGAAAGTTTTGAATTTAAAGTCAAATACTGCGGTGAGAGAAGAATTGTAATTGAAAGCAAAAGTATAGTTGGTCAGAGAATATTAGATCCAGCTTTTGTTCAAACAAAATTAATTGTTTCAATAAAATAAAATTAATTGCTTAAATTTTAATCTCACTGAAATCATGAAAAATCCTAATCTGATTCTTTGTTAAGAGAGCCACTTAAAAATCAAATTTGCTGAGATACAAAATTTAGTTGAAAATTGTAGTATTTTACTCATCAAAGTGCTAAAAATTCTATTCCATTTCGAGTTCTCCGGCCACTTCTCTGACGAGTTCTAATATCTTGCAACACCATCTCCAGTGAAGACTCAGATGATGATTTCCACAGCAATGTTGCCTTCTCTTGCAACAATCCCGGTGCAATTAATCTCAAACTACTTCGTGGCCTGCTGCTAGTCCCCTTTGTTTATCCCCTTTTAGATAAAGTCATGCCATCAAAATTCAGAACATACAAAGGAAACCTAGAAAAAGGAAAGAAAACAAGCTCCCAATCGGTTTCATCGAATTTTGACTTTTTTATTTTTTTGGCCAAGTCTTTAATTTGGTCTATTTGGGTTTTGCAGGATAATTTAGAAACATTTTCATTTTTATCCCAATTAATTAAATTAAAAATAAAATTAAAAAACACATCAATAATGTACTGTTCAGCATTAGATTATTTCTCATGAATTTAATTATGGTAAGTAATTGTAAGTCCCATCTAACAAAAAGCGTTTCAGCGTTTCCATTGGCCTTTTCAACGCGGTAGGCGCCATTTGTACGGGCTGGGTATTTTTTAACCGAACCGATTGTTTACCTGAAAATCGAACCGAAAAAATGATTTTGGTTCGGTTTCAACGGTTTTTGGTTTTATTTTTTTGGTTTCGGTATTAACCAAATATATTTTGATTTGGTTTCGGTTGAATCTCTTAAAAACCAAAAATCAAAAATAAAACCAAAATTAGGATAAAATA